CAATTCCACAATTCCACAATCAATTCTGCAATTCTGCAATTCCACAATCAATTCTACAATTCCACAGGTTCACATTTCCACAATGAATTCCACAATTCCACAATCAATTCCACAATTCCACAAACAATTCCACAATTTAACAATTCTACAATGAATTCCACAATCAATTCCAGAATGAATACCACAATTCCACAATGAATTCCACAATGAACTCCACAATGAATTCCACAATTCCACAATGAATTCTGCAATTCCACAATTAATTTCACAATTCCACAATGAATTCTACAATGAATTCCATAATGAATTCCACAATGAATTCCACAATGAATTCCACAATGAATTCCACAATGAATTCCACAATTCTACAATTAATTCAGAATTCCACAATGAATTCCACAATGAATTCTGCAATTCCACAATTAATTTCACAATTGCACAATGAATTCCACAATGAATTCCACAATGAATTCCACAATTCTACAATTAATTCAGAATTCCACAACAAATTCCACAATGAATTCCACAACGAATTCCACAATGAATTCCACAATTCCACAATGAATTCCACAAAGAATTCCACAATTTCACAATGAATTCCACAGTGATCTCCCCAGTTCCCTCCAGCAGTGCACCCGTGGCAGCAGCAGGAGCTGCCCAGGCCTGGGGTGGCTGTCCCCTCCCTGGCTGTCCCTGTGCCCTCCCTGGCTGTCCCCTTCTCTGAGGGACAGCATCAAATTGATTTCATCAGCGTGGGGAATAGCTGGAAATCACTGCCAGGCACAGGAAACTGATTCTTGCTCTTCTTTTTATGGCTTGGGCGTAATAATTGGTTTTAATGAGAAATCCATAGAAAAATTAAAACGTGCTTATGAGGGTGATTAAGCTCCATTCCCACTAACTGAGAATCCTCAGTCTTCCCTGCCACACACCCTCTCCCTGCCTCATGGGCTCGGGAATTTCAGCGTGGCAGGAAATCCCTAAATTCCCTTCTTTCCTTCTCCTGTTCTTTCCTTCTCCTGTTCTTCTCGCTGTAAGCAGAAGGACAAAGCAGCTTGTGCCTGGAAGACCACACACAGCCAGAAGAGTCAAATCATGGAATGCTGGAACCCTTCAGGCTGGAAAGGAGCTCTAAGACCATCCTGTCTGACCATCACTTTCAGGGTGAAAATGGGGGAAACACAATAGGGAATTAAATGAAAGGTTCAAGGAAAAAACAACAAACCCGATGCAGGTTGCAATGGAATAGTTCAATATTGCTAAAATGGTTCAAAATGTCAGGAGTGCAGAGAACCCCCCCAGAGCAGGACTGTGCAATGCCCACTCTGCCAGGTGAAAGTTCTGTGCTGCAAAACCCAGAATTGCCATCCAGGAGCTGCTTGGGAGGCTCCCAGAAACGGGGGGGAAACTGCCTGGATTTCACCAAGGTTCCCAAATTATTTGTGTGATGAAATCCCAGAATTCTGGAATGGTTTGGGTTCACAGGGACCTCAAATCCCACCCTGCCCTGGCAGGGACACCTCCCACTGCCCCAGGAGCTCCAGCCCCAGTGTCCAGCCTGGCCTTGGGCACTGCCAGGGATCAGGGGCAGCCACAGCTGCTCTGGGAATTCCATCCCAGGGAGCAATTCCCAATTCCCAATCTCCCATCCATCCCTGCCCTCTGGCAGTGAAGCCATTCCCTTGTCCTGTCCCTCCATCCCTGGTAAAATAAATCCTCCACCTCCCTGGCAAGCCCAGGCACCGTTTTCCTCCTCAGCCCTGGAAACAACATTGATCCCTAAACACTGGCTGCCACACCCCAAATCCCTGACTTTAAACTAAAACCAACCCTAAGCCTCTCCAAGGATTATTTCCAACAAACTCCTCTGTGTAGTTGAACATCTTGCATCCTAAGTATCAATCATAAAAAAAGATAACTGTGCTTTTTTGGCGTAGTAAAATTTTTTATCAATGCTCACTGAAAATTGCTCTGTTTTTTATAGTTCTTACGTTTTTTCATTTCATACTCAGATGAGCTCAATATTTACAGAGCAGTGAAATGCCCCCAGCACAAGCACCATTTCCAGAGTCTTGAGCCCAGATTTTAAATGAGGAGAGCTTTTCCAGCAGAGCCCCAGCCCTCCCCTCTGACAGCCAGCCAGCAGCCCTTTGCTTTTGCATGCCCATGATTAGTTCCTCCAGGCACTTTGATTGAAGAGCCTTGCCTAAAGGTCTCCACCTCCTCCTAATTAAACACAATTTGTCTCAAACACAGCAGCTTTGGCAAAGTGGGGCTGAGGACACGAATGATGGGTGGGCTGGGAAGAGAAATGCTTGGATCTCGAGCCTTCATTTATTTCCCATTCCTGTCAGCGCCGAGGCGTGACAAAGTGGCACCAGAGTGGCCCTTCCCTAAGTTTGGGATGGATCTTTTCCCTCTTTGATATCCATGGATCTCTGCAAATTTGTGGTGTTCAGAACTCTATCTTCACCTGCTTTGTGTGCTCAGCTTTTCTGAGACCAGTCTGAGGGCAGTGTTAGGGCAGGGGTGAAAAGGAACGCTCCTGTTGGGAATTCTGTGCCCCGGGCCAGATCTGTGCC